ACTGGAAGCCTTAAAGTTGCCTAGTAAAAGCGTCGTGCCACAATCCACAGAACGGGTCGGGAAGTAGACATAGTCCTATGTACCGAGCAATTAGACATAAAAAGTTTGTTACCTTTTTCTTGATACGTTGGACCTTGTGCATTTTTATTTTATTTTATTTTATACATAATTGTGTGTTATCACCCCCGTTAGACTCAACTTGCATTGGAAGCGGGTTGGGAACGGCGAGGCTGGTATCAATCTAACCAAAGGCTTAGAACGTCACGTTTGGAGCAGCGAGGAGCGAACAGCTGACGCCGCGGCGAAGACGTCACAGTTGGTGCTGTCCGTGACCAGAATATCAGAGCCTGGGGAGCACGTGACGTCACAATTGGCGCCGCGACCGGGATCGAACGACACAGTCGACGCTGCGACCGGGGGACGACGTCACACAGTTAACATAAACGAATAAACGTCTATAGCAGAAACTGAAGTTTTTCTGGATTATTTTTGTATGCTTCTTCTAAATTTTCTTTGTTTACATATTGAACACGCACCTTCACTTAAAACATATACACAAAACCCACAACCGTATTAACATCTGCATAGTAAGAAATACATTTCCCTTTTCAAAGACATTCTGCAAAAAATTGCCACCTCATTGCACCTGCTGGTTTATCTCTTGAATTCCTCATGGAGTTGTTCCATTTCCGATTTTATCTTCTAGTTATAGGTTTTTTTTTTCTCTTATGTTACTTTCATATTGTGGCTTTTATAAGCGACTGAAGTATGTCAATAGTTTAGTTTTTTTTTTAAATATTTAGATGCAAGAAAAAGAGACATACACACATCATTACTGTCATGACAAAAAAAAAACGTTTTCAATTTATTGCGATAACAATGTGCTTGGGCAAAAGATATTTAACAGAACACGAATGAACTCAGTTGTTATCAGTTTAAATTCTTATTAAAAGGTTGTATTACTACTGTGGCCAATAACCTCAACTACAAATTTCTTTCTATATATAATATTACCCATTTCTCATGTAAATAGCTTATGGTCAATTCACGTTGAAACACCGCTTCATTTTTTATCTCCGACGTTAAGCAGTGCCTAGCCCGGTCAGGATGCGGGACCGGTTGAAAACTCCGGATATTCTGAGCGGTCTCTTTCAAAACGGTTTGGGCATGAAGCTACCAACTTCATCCCGTAAAAACATTCTTGATACGGGCAACCATTTTAGTAAAGCCTAATGTTGTTCATAACTGTAGCCCCATATTTCTCATTTGGGGTCTACAGTACTTATGTGAGTGAATGGAAATAACTACTAAACTATTTTTGGTTAGGCAGATAAGGAATAATAAAGAAACACACACACAAAGCTACCTTTTGTCTTCTCTATCTGTACAGAAACGGTAATAAAGTGTTATTAACAATAGTTTTGTAACCTAAGTCGGAGGTTAGAAATGAAATAGTAATCTTTATAACATCAACAAAATGCAATACACGCTAACGGAGTGAAGTAGTGGTCTCTTTAGATAGCATATTACCCCCACTTGCAATAGTGTCCAACGTATTTATGAGGATTGGGGCATCCCCTTTTAATTTCATTGGAACGATATATAACAAATAGCTAGAAGGATTTAAGGTGGACTTTAAGTGTAAATGTGTTGATAATGGCTACACAGCAAACCAATAGCTTTCACTCCGCTTTCTAATAACACTGAAAGTTTCTGTTTTTCGTTATGACGTAGTTTAACGTTTGAATCTATATTTTCCGCCATTTTTATTTTTTATATATATTTACCACATATACAGTCAGGGATCCGATAATCTCTAATATAAGCTGATTCTATTGGAAAAGTTTGAGAATTATAAAGAAACTTGACTGACCAAATCAGACGGGGTTTGTCGCCAACCAACCATCTACTATTTCGAGCCATTATAATTTAAATTTGACGTTTTGTCACAGACCAGTTCGTGATATAGTAATGGAACATCATGGGTCTAAATAGATGTGGGAAAAGTACCTAAGCGAATTGGTAGGTTGCAGCTACAATTAATTTATAATGAATAAAAGACATCAAAGTCACTGGTTTCCTTGTTTCTGTTATCAGAGGGCAAATACTCGAATGCTCAGCTGTTTAACAAGTGGCAAAGCAAATGACTGAAATCAGTGGATCCGTTTGAAGCTGCTCACTAATAATTTTGGTAGCCATAAAGGAAATGCAAAACATTCACAACTTTGTTTTGTTGCTGTGATTTCTTTCCTTCTTCCTCTTTAATTTCTTTTTTTCTTTCTCTTTTTTGTAGCTGTGATCTCTTTCTTTTTATTCTCATTTTTCTTTCTTTTTTTTGTTACTATGATTTCTTTATTTCTCTCTTTTTATTTCCTTTTTTTTCTTTTTTGTTTTGTTGTGAATTCTTTCTTCCTCGCTTTTTCTTTTCTTTTTTTCTTCTTTTTCTTTTTAGTTCGAGGTTGCCACAGAGCCATTTTAAGGTCGGACAAAATGGTGTCGACTGATGATAAAATGACGTGTTAGTGAATAACTTTTAATTGATTTTGTGCCTGATTCCCAAGAGGACCGGGGGTCATTTAATACAAGAAGTGATTACGCTTATATTGAAGGATTATCTACCAGTAAAAGTGTGGGCCAAAATCCTACAAAAGAATGCGGAGAAAAGAAAAGAAAGAAGAAAATTGTTATTACTGTCATTTAGGTATTTTGGGACGTTTTATACTCTGTCGAATTAAGGAAACAGGCAAATCGAAGAGTGGAATTTATCAAAGCTAAGGAAATGTCTTTATTGTGAAATCAGTGATCGTTTGCCCTGCTTGCTCTTTAGCATACTCTATCCTTGCAGAGCGGAAGTCGTTTATGCGCGCTGCAGGAAGCAAAAGAAAATGTTCAAAGGGAAAACAAGGCAGCAAAAGAGATCGGACGTTGCTGTTAACTTCCGATATTTGATTGCCGCATCTTGTGAAGTAAGAAACATGATTTTATCAGTTTTCGAAGAAGTTCGAATTTGACTTTTATGGGAAGGGCTGGAAATTCCATGCCAATTGTTTCTAGTTATATTCACAATTTATCATTTCATTTTGTGTAACTCAATAACAGCGTACCACGTAAGTAGAAGATTTACCAAACTTTGTAATTTTGAGACCGGCCTATAGATTCATACGTGGCACATATAACCAGAAGATGGATAGGTAGAAAAAATGTTTGCTGATTTCCAATCGACTAACATCTTTTAATTTAGCTGGCCACTAAACAGCATCTCATGTTCCCACCCATGCCAAAATAAAATTTTTTCCCACCCAGACCAAAATAATTTTTTAGCAACTAGTGGCTGCATACTCCTCTTTTAATAGAGGTTTACTCCTCTGGATTAGAAGTTGCTAATCAAGTTTAAATTCGTGGTTTGTAATCAGAGATTTCTTTCTCCTACGTTGATTGCTGGCCAATGCTAATGAGATTAACCTACTCGATAGCCGTAAATTCAGAGTTTTTTTTTTCTCTTAGACTCTCTGTCACCTATTTAATTCAGTGAGATTTAACCATTTTCTTTGTTGTCATCCTTTTCAAAGCACCAAGTTCTCGCACACACTTCCAGAATTGAGTAAAAACAATAGTGATCTTATGTGCAAATAACAAAACCATTGTTTTTCTTTAATCTTTATTTACATAACTGACAGCAAAACAATGCATTACAAAAACCCAGATTACTTCCAAATTTGCAAAAAATAAATAGATAAGTAAAATGACAGTAACATCAATATTTACACTATCCCACACGCATAAATAATTATGTGTCAGCAAAAGCACAATTCAACAAGATTTAAACATCACAGTTAAGTAAACACATTTCAACAATATTTAAGCAAAAGTTCCGCTCTTCATCAAAACAAACTTCACACGCCAATGTTTCCAACTTTACGGCAATTTTAACAGCAATTTCTGCTCTCATTTTTTTCTAAGTATCATTTTGGTTATTATGATGGCTGCAATTTGTAAAATTTCTACAATGTAAACTTTTATATCAGATCACCAAACATTACACTAGAATACCCTTAATAAACCAACCCCAATGATTCAATACCTCGCACCCCTAGGAACCGATATCGTACCCCCAGTAAGTGCGAGCACCCCTCTTTAAGAACCACTGATTTAACAAGAAAGATCGATGCATGATTTTTCCAAGGACGAAATAAAGACAATTATAATTTGAACTTAGATCATCGATTTCATTTTCCGTGCCCATAAGAGTAATGCTATCTGCACTTGTATAGAACTGTACATGAGCAAATTTAATGAAAGAAAGAATGAGAGAAAGAAGAAAAGATATTATATATGAAAGAGTTGGAAAAAGAAGAATGGGACGAAAATGAAAAGAAGAAATTAAAACTAAAAGAAAATATAGACGTTGGTAAAAAGATATATTTAAAGATAAAATATTTAAAAGATACAATTGAAGCTATAATCAAAATTAGAAAAGGAAAATGCGATCAAAAATTAAAAATTTGAAATAAATATCAAAAGAAAGGAAGGAAACGTAAAAGGCAAAAACAAAATTAGAAGAAAGAAAGAAAATATTTCCTGAAAAGTAATAAGAAGCACTAAAAAGTAAAAGAAAGAATTGAAACACTAAGATAAAAAGGAGGCAGAATACAGAAAAAAGGACAACAGTCAAGAAAGAAAGAAAGAAATATATCGTAAAAAAGAAGGAAAAAGAAACGAAAGAATGATTCGTTTTTAACGACTTATCCATTTGCAGTTTATTTAAAGCCAGAAAATATTTTTAGATTGTAAGAAGATTTTTTTAGAGATAATAATGATTTACTGCTACAAGCCCTATTAATTAACCCATAGCTAGTGGAGAGAAGATTTGGATTCATAACTTTCCGAAGGTTATTTGCACGTATGTGAATATAAAGAACCCAATGGGATTTGAAACTCGACTCACCGACTTACAAATCCGAGTCGTTATCCACCAAACTAACCGCACATCCAAAGTTATGGCAGCTAGTATTTCCAAGCGGTCACTAATATAATTACTAACCAGGCTCGAAGTTGCTTAACTGCGGTGATCGTCCGAGAACCGGTGTTTCAACGTGATCTGGCCGTAAGCACCAAAAAAAAAAAAAAGAATTGCAAGAGCAAGACGGACGAAATGGGGGGGAGGTAAACAGTCAAGAGACAAAACAGAAACAAATAAAATAAAGAAAAAATATGTCGCTAGAAATAGAAAGAAACTTGTTTTGTGCAATCTACCAAAGTGATCAACTTCCGGGGCTGGGTGAAAATCTTTCCTTTGCCTTCTCCCACCTCTAATTTCATCGGCGAAGGAAGTACATGAATCCTCTCAACAATTACACTGATAGCGCCTTACTAATTATCAACCGTCAAACAAACGTATACTTTCCGGCACTGTTACTATTCCAAGCTAACCTTCCAGTTGGCGCCATGTCGATAACCGTTAATTGGTCATTATTACATACCCAACAATTTGTAGGCTTGCAAATTTAGTTTTATTGTGGCGCAGAAATTTAATATTGGGAATATCAGAGATTTGATCCACTAGACTGTGTTTAGTTACTCTTTTATCAAACACTTGCTTATCTGAATGAGTCGTCGATCCATGGCATAACACACCGAGTAAAACAAAAGACAAAAGGAATCATAGTACTTCCATGCAGTAGTTGTTTAAATATCTTAATTTGCAGTGGTGGATTCAAGCATTCTATGAGTCCTTTGATAATTAAAGATAAAAAAATGTTCCATTATTACATCTCCTAAGGGATATAAATATCAATAAATATATCGTCTGCATGACCGAATCTCGAACTGATAAATCAATTTTTCTTTGTTAAGTAATCTTTTCTTCCATCAAACATAATATATTTTTGTTAGAACTGATTATTTCTAAAGGCCATTTTTATAGGACACTTTGCAAAAATCAGATGTCCCTAGAGTTGTCAATATCGACCCCCATGGGTCGATAAATACCTGGGGGAGGACAAAAGTATTAATAAATTCTAAAACATCTTTGAAAAAAAATCCAATATATTTAGCAAAATTTAAGAATCGTAAATCTTATGTAAGTCAAAATTTACACAGTAAAATTATTAACCAACATTCGATAAAAAATTAAAAGTGTTACTAATATTCATATGGGAAAATATATCTTCCATATAAGTAATTTCTAATTTGAGTTCAGATTATAATAAGTGTTATTAGAAATATTTACAATAAATTTTATTACTCAACTTGAGACTTGTTCACTCTATTGCAAATTAATGCTTATTACAGTATGTTTTTTTTTAATATATGAAGACTGCTATGACATAAATAACATTGCATTAGAGTTATAACCTCAAAAGAGAAAGAAGACAATGTCATATTATTCAGCAATGAAGATAAATTATCGGAACTTGCGAAAAAATTAATCTAAATGTCACAAAAAGTGAAATGGGGTCAATTAAAAGAGTAAGAAGCAGGAATTATGGTAACAAAAATATAAGTTCGTGTGGTAGATCCTAACAAAGAGAATAGATGCACAATATTAAAAACTATTTTCTAAATACCTTCCTATGTTTTGAGGTATTACACTATATACATCGTTCGAACTGTTACAAATGAATGTATATGACAGGGTAAATAAAGATGAGATGAGGACAAGAGTCCAAACGATGTAAATAGTGTAAACTTAACAGAATATATGAGGGTGACAGAATATATGAGGATAACAGCATATATGAGGATAATAGCATATATGAGGATAACAGAATATATGAGGATAATAGCATATATGAGGATAATAGCATATATGAGGATAACAGCATATATGAGGATAATAGCATATATGAGGATAACAGCATATATGAGGATAATAGCATATATGAGGATAATAGCATATATGAGGATAACAGAATATATGTGAATAATAGCATATATGAAGATAATAGCATATATGAGGATAACAGAATATATGAGGATAATAGCATATATGAGGATAACAGCATATATGAGGATAACGGAATATATGAGGATAATAACATATATGAGGATAACAGCATATATGAGGATAACAGAATATATGAGGATAATAGCATATATGAGGATAACAGCATATATGAGGATAACGGAATATATGAGGATAATAACATATATGAGGATAACAGCATATATGAGGATAACAGAATATATGAGGATAATAGCATATATGAGGATAACAGAATATATGAGGATAATAGCATATATGAGGATAACAGAATATATGAGGGTAATAGCATATATAAGGATAACAGAATATATGTGGATAACAGAATATATGAGGATAACAGAATATATGAGGATAACTGAATATATGAGGATAATAGCATATATGAGGATAACAGAATATATGAGGATAACAGAATATATGAGGATAACAGCATATATGAGGATAATAGGATATATGAGGATAACAGAATATATGAGGATAACTGAATATATGAGGATAATAGCATATATGAGGATAACAGAATATATGTGGATAATAGCATATATGAGGATAACAGAATATATGAGGATAACAGAATATATGAGGATAATAGCATATATGAGGATAACAGCATATATGAGGATAATAGCATATATGAGGATAACAGAATATATGTGGATAATAGCATATATGAGGATAATAGACTGCATGCAAATAACAACTCCTCATCCTAGGAATGCAGGCAGAGATACCCGGTAAGTCACCATCATTGCTCGTTTGAATCAGTTCTTTTTAGTTCAATTCAGTTATGTGTCATACGTAATAAACGCTTAGGTGATCATGTATCTTTTGGTACATAAGTGACTAGGCAGATTTTTCCCCGCGGTTGGTTGCCATTTCTTTCAGCGGTAGACCATTTGCCATCCAGGGCTATAGAACCCGGTTTGAACTGCTATTTTAACATAACCGAGGAGAAGTAGAGGATTCATACCTTTCCCTAAGTATGAATCCTCTTCTTAAATTCGTAAATGAATGTAATGCATTCGACTGGAATTCGAACTCGGCTCTCCATTACTCCACCTTGTTATCATTACTGTTGATTTTTATTTATTTTTTTTTTAATTAGGAAACGTTTTAAAAAAACATTGCCTTCATAACTTTTGATATGCAGGAAAAATCTCATTGCAGAATATTATTACAACCGAAGAAAAAAAATATATGCATTTAAAATCAAAACAAAGTGATAACAGAATGTAAAAACTATACCTTTTATGGTAAAATATAAAGAAAATACAAAATAAGAAATCTTTAAAACTTAACATCTGACCACCGCAGTTTTTATCATCAGATTTGATTCCACATCAAAAATTTTATTTTGTGTCACCGTGCCTGAAAATATTCTTTTTGTTCACGGAGATAAAAGCATATTTGACAGGAAATAAAACGTACAGAAATAACAGAAAAAGCATGTTAATCTATATATTAATTTCATACAATTTATTTATATTTTTTGTGTGTATTGATGTCTGTACTTTTTTTTTTTTTTACAATTGTTTTATGGTACATCTGATAAAAGGGAGAATTTACTCCATAGTATTAAAAGCCATATCACAGAGAGAAGTCGAACATGCGTTGCCCGTACCAAGGTTCGCGATGAAGAGATTGAATTTATAGTCTTTTGGCGAGATGTCCGTATTTCTGACAGGAACAATTTCTGTTGCATGCTGGGAGTATTCTTATTATTTTTAATTTTTATTTATTTTATACAGTATTTTTAAGTTATAGTTTTATTCATAATTTTCATTATTGATACTATTTTATTTCTTTATTTTTATTTCTTTATCATAATAATATCTCTATACCCACAATACGCACCCTGTGAGAGTTAATCTTTCCAAGTTTGCTATGCATACAAGGAATTTCAGTTGTCTTTTCCTGATTTTGAGTAAAGATGTAAAATAATATGTTAGTAATTTATTAGTAATTAGTAATTTATTGGTAATAAGTTAGGATATTGTACTAATTGAATATACGTTTCTATAACCTATAACTTTTAGATTTGTATATAAATAAAAATGTAAGAATTAAACCTGAAATCACAAAAACCATTTCTATTAGTATTTTTAAAGATAGATATTATGAGCTGATATATTGCACCGATAATATCTACATCGATTGGTTAAAACTATTTTTATGATGAAATCGTTGATTTGCATAATAAAATCTGTTACAATGTAGTAAACGTTGAACCTTTTTTATTCAAGTGCAATGTTCTAACCACTAAACCACCTCACTCAAATTCTACGAGCAAGTGAAGACGATTAAACGAAATCCGGCGTCGCCCAGAAGGTGACGTCATGGAATAAGACGCAGTATTCAGCCAATAATCATTATGTCCCGTCTGTTGAAGTCGAGACGCGGAGGAGACATTGGTGATAAACGTTTATTTTATTCCCGCGAGGTGTTAGACTTTCACTACGAAAATTCTTCCTGTTCCTGTGTAAATATGCGCGTTCTACTCGCTGAAAGCTGAATAACTTACTGCTGATTAATAGCCACCTAGAATTGAATCTCTACGAGACGAAACTCTCTCTCTCTATCTCTATCAATCTCTTTCTCTCTCTATCTCTCTCTCTCTCTAATTTGCAGGCAGGGATTTACCTTGGAGAATTCTTTCATGAAGGTCTTTCTAACTTTACAGTCGTTAAGCCTTTCTTTCTGATACTCTACTTTTTTTCGTTTTCTTTCATACGTTTTCCAAAGTTGCGTGTGGAGTTTTTTGGGGTTTTTTTTTATTAAATTTATTTTCTTTCTTTTACTTACCGTTTATCTCCCTTTAACATGCACGGTCTGCCTCCAGCTTGCCTTCGTTTCTAATTTACTAACTCTGAGCTGTAGAAGTGATCAACATTTTATCTTTCATTTAGCGATTTATTAAGCGTAGCTTAAATCTGACACAAGGCAGTGAGTAAGAAGCAACCACTGAAGATCAAACTCACTGGAAATTAACGTGACTAGCTTACTAACAATGACACTACGTCGAAGTACCTTATGTGTTTCTTATAAATGGCTTATGTATAGATATAATACATCATACTGATGAAGATATAGAAAAATCATACCGTAGTTTCAATGCACTGATCT